GAACTGAAAGGTACGTAGATCAGCACTGCTCCCTGTTTCTGTCATCTCAGATTCCATGCTTATGAGTACCTGCTCCCAAAGGAAAAATGCAGAAGGTAAGAAAGAGCAGCTCTGGCCTTCCAAGGTTCCACAGTGGTAATTTACGTTGTGTCCCAATGTCGTGGGCTGTCAGTCTGTTTTGCAGCAGGGTCTCTGTGCCAAAACACACAGGCTGTCATCCAGGGAGGGGTTGTGGAAATGCACGTGCACTGACAGTCCTGGTGAGCATCCTCAGCCCTTTGTGCCACGTTCAAAAAGGTCCTTCTTTGTACTTTTCTGAAGGTGCCATGGCTGATAACTGCCAGAGATAGAGATGCAGCTATTAGGTTTCTAGAAGAGGTGACGCAGCAGAGAGATCTTACGTATCTTTCACAAGGATGAGAGTGTTCAAGTAATGCTTACGCTGGTTTCTCACACGATTGCAAGATTTTCTGTGGAAGATATTGTCTGCATCCTAACCCACTCCACCTAGAGTCTGTTTGTGGGGTCATGCTGAAGACTATTATTGAGTTCTTGTGCATAGTGTTCCAGCATACCTCCTCTCCTCTAATGGGCCTGATGAGATGCCAACTAAAACTGGGAGGTTTCATAACAGATTGCTTGGATGCTTGTGGCCCAGGCATCCTATCTCAGCTACTGAATAAAATTGATCCTGCTGAGGAAAACCTGCTTTCTGGTTGTCACAGGGTTCTTCAGGGAAGCTCCCTTCTGATCTATTTAGGATCTGAGCGCTGTGATCTGGCAGAATAGGAGGGAGCTGAGGGGAAGGAGCGTTGTACCTGGAATCTGATCTCTTGTTTATGCATTCTGGAGGCAGTGTGTGGCTGAGCTGGTTTAGAGAAGGTCCCACATAAACAAATGTGCAGAGATGCTTGTCTGCTTTGGGATGTGTGCACGCATGTTTAACACAGAGCAGTTGTGGCTGTATTCAGGGCACAGCTCCGTGCTCAGCACTCCTTGCAAACCGATGCAGACCTGGAACAACCTTAAAGTCAGCTTTGCAATCCTTCTTGTACATCTTCAAGCTTGGCTGCTCCTTGTTGAACATTAAGCACACAGCATGCTTGTGTTCCACCACTTTTCTCCTTTGCTGTGGGCTCCTTTGATGAGCTGACCTGCAGAGGCCTCTCAGCACTCTTTATTTAATGGTGTGTGATCTCCTGGAGCCCAGGTGCACAGCAGTGCTGACTGCTGGCACTGTCAGCTAAGCATTTGGAACTGGTGGAGTCTACCCCCAGGGTCCTTTTATTTGGGGTTTTTCAGCCTTCTCCCATCTCCAGGCAGAAAACCCTGGTGGAAGAGGTACAGTACAGGGGTGCTTGGGAAAGTAATGCTCTGCAAACTGTCTGCTGAGTCTCCTGCATAGCATGGGTGCAGTAGCATCAGGACTACAGCATGATTGTGTTCACAGGGCAGGAAATGGAGTGGGACCCTGAACTGAATGCTTCCAGGCTCCTGAGGGAGTTTAAAGCTGAACGTTACATACAAAAGCATTGTCTTTAGCTGTAGGTGGAAATAAAGATAAGCTAACAGTGCAGGGTAAGCTGTGTTAGGAGCAGGGAAGATGAGAAAAACAGAAGGAATTACAGTTTTAATAAGGCAGAAGCTCTCCCAGTTGATCTCTGATCAGAACCACTGGGTCACTTTATCAAGAGCTCAGCACCAGTTTCCCAGCCCACCAACTGTGTGTGATTGTAAAAGACAAAGCAGATAATAACATATGCAACTTTAATAGGGTAGCCTAAATTTGGGGCAGGTGCACAATGCTGCATCTCTGCTTATTAAGGAGTTCACATGGGTAGCATGGCTTTGGTTGTTGGCTGAGGAGTGATGCCCCGATGTTTCTTTTTCACTCCTGGCTGTGTGAAAGGGCTTTAATGGACTACACATTCTTCTCTGATCTATGCCGCCCGAAGGCAAATGATTTACAGGGTTACTGAGGTCACGGGTGCAGGCAGGGAAATAATCACCTCTGTGGGGAAGCAGTGGCTGCATTGAGGTGAGCAGTGATCCAAAAAGAGCAGGAATCCCCGTGTCTGAAATGGAGAAACCAGAGATGATCTGTATGTCACCCAGTCATTACCCAAGCACGTCTTTGGTGACAGAGAGAGATGAAACCCCGTGCTTGGGGTTGGTGGGGAATTCCTGCAGCTCCTTAACATTCACGAGCGGTCCACTCATTAATATATATACATTTTTTGCTTCCTCCAGTGCTGCTTCATCTCCGTGGGGCTTCAATGCTAACTTTGAAGAGCGCAGCTGCCCCTCTTGTCCTTGTGAGCTCCCGATGCGGCTCTCCTATTCTGCTCACGTCCGACCTCGCTTTTCCTTGCGTGTGATTCCCTGCTCTTCTCATTAACAAACCTCACAGCACTTCACAAAGGCTCCAGCCCTTCCTGGCCTCCCCTGATGGAGAGCAGGGCTGTGTTGAAGCAAAGTGACTTTGTGAGCATCGTGCCACAGCCCTGCGGGGTGGGTTTGCTTAGCATCTGGGGTGGTTTTGCGTAGCATCCCTGCCTTGCATGAGATGTGTGTGTGTCTCAGGGTGCAACCATAGCTCTGAGTGGATGTTATAAGCTTAGCTCTGATTGCATTCTTACCCATATGATTGCAAATGACAGTCAGACTGGTCTGGCAAGTAAGACTAAGCAACCTTGAGCTGTCATACCTCGGGAATCTGTGTCAGGAAGAGCACCAGACTCTTTGTCTGGTCACTTGGTGTATGATTAGAAGTGGTCCCTTTGCTGTGATGTCCCTGTGAGGCGGGCAGATAACGTTTGCTGCAGCCTTGCTGTGTTTCCCAATGGCAGAGCTCTGCAGTGCGCTGCTCTTGCTGTGGTTGGCAGAGTGCAGCTTCCATGAGAGCAAGAAGTGCTGCTGAGAAGTCTTTGCCCTCCTTGGTCTGCTTGTGTTTTTGGACAAGCAGACACATTTTCATTTTGATTTACATCAGGCACAGCGTTCCTCCTTCATCCTTCAGCAGGTTCACTGCGAGCCTCGGGCCAGCTTTTTGCATGGAGATGAATGAAGCCATCAGATGCCTACCTTTCATTTGGAGAAGTTGGAATGGAGGAAAAAGGAGAAGGGAGGAAAAAAAAATAAAAATGGGAGTGTCGTTGAGAAGACCCCGCCTTCACTTCTTATTGGCCCTGTGTATAAGGCAAGCAATGCGGCTGCCAGCCGCACTGGCTGAGGATCTGGGCTCTCTGCAGCACCGGCAATGGGCAGCAGGTCCCTGCTCGCCCTCCTGGTGGCCCTGGGTGCCTGCCAGCTGGCTGTGCGGGCAGCAGGGCGCTCCAAGGTGAACCCCAGGATCGTCGTCAGTCCCCGAGGTGAGTACGGGCTGCTCCTCGCACTGCTGCCTTACCCCTCTCTTATTTCTTCTGTCTCTTCAAGGAGACTTTGTGGCTCTCATTAAATCGAGCCCAAGCTCTGTGATCTCCAGAGAGGCTTCTGGTGACCTTGATAGCTCTCATTGAATTTTTAGAGCCTTCTTCCTTCCAAATTCTTTTTGCGTTCTGAAAGCGTCTTCCACCGATGTGGCTGTGTTAACCCAACAAGCTGCCTCCTGAAACAGTATGCCGTAACTCATGGGGAGAAATGCAGAAGTGCATTTGCATAAAGCAGTTAATTTGCTAATGAACCTGATGTACTTATCTGCACATGGCTTCTCAGCCTCAATATTTATACGGCGTAACTGTTCTCCGAGGGAAATGCGCGCTGCTGCAGTGGCCCAGGGTTTGGCAGACAGAATCTGAGCAGAAACTGAACAAAGGGCTGCTCTTGAGGAGGAGGCTGGCGTGGAAAGCTCAGCCTGACATCCGTGGGTTGGGAAGAGTGGAGTAAGGCTTACTGGTTCTATCACGTGCCTTCCCATGCTTCTTTGAAGCATCCCCTCCATTAACAAAAGACCCCAGTGGTTAAAGTGTTTGTGTAACCCCGGGGCTCCACCGAGCTGCAGATCCCGCGCTGCTCTGCAGTACAACAGCTCCTCTGTGCCGACAACTTCAGAGGACGTGAATTTCCCTGCTTTATTCCGCACCATCTGTTGTTCTTTGGGCCCCTCGCTGCTTGGAGATGAGGGGCAGCAGCAGAGGGAAGGGTGATGGCTGTGTGACCGGAGTAGCATGCTGCCAAGCCGAGGGTTGGCAAGGAGAATGGCTGAGAGTTGCTATTATAAAATTAATGATGCGTTACTAACTTTATCCCCTGGCAAATGAAACAGCTCAGATATTGGTGCAACAGTGAGAAGGAAGGTGTGGGATGGGGTCGTGCTTTTCAGGGTAGAAGCTTCCCCTTTCCTATTTAAAGGAAGAGAGAAAGTTGTGCTGCTGGTGCGTGGTGTGATGGCAGCGCGTGTCCTGGAATAGACCTGCACTGAGCAGGAGGAGCAGGCTTGAGTTGTTGAATTTCCACCCGTTCTGTGTGCTCAGTGCACACATGCGGTACAGTCATTTGGCCTTTCAGTGCATCTGTGTCAGATGGTGGCTTTTCTTAACATTAAACAGCGAGGATCTGTCACTGAGAAGCACCAAAGCCAATTAGTGCTAGGATGCATCGCTGAGAGGGGGATCAGCTTGTGCTTATCTCTTTCCTGATTTGATTTTTTGAGAAAAAGCCATAATTGCAGGGAGGGAGTCGTGCAGGCAGGCTCATCACGAGGCTGTCCTATGTCCTACTGCACAGCCTGCATTGCCCAGCGTGACCCCTGCCCTTTGAGAAGTGAGTTCTGCTTGGGCTGAGGCTGAGATGTGAGTGAAGGGGTGAATGGGGGGGGAAGGGGGTTTAGCAGGCAGCACTCAGCCCTCTTCAACTTTCCTGGTGCTCCAGTGGCTGGATGTGGCTCTGGGCAGCCTGGTCTGATAGTTGGTGACCCTGCACATAGCAGGGGGGTTGAAACTAGATGATCATTGTGATCCTTTTCAACCCAGGCCTTTCTATGATTTCGAGCACAGCAAAAGGCAAATACAGCTTCTGCAGTGTGAGTAACCTGCAGGTCAGCACACGGAGCAGTGCCTCACAGTGATGTGCTTGCAGGGTTTTGTTTCCAGCTCTGGATGGAGAGGAATGAAGCGATGGTCAGGCTCGTGGTGCAGCATACAGCCACAGCCCTGGGCTGTGCAGGAGCTGCCGGCTCTTCACCTCATTAAATTTCTTCCACGCTGCAGCCCATCGCTAGCACCAGGTGTAACAGCTTCAAAGACACCTAGAGATCTTACAGCACTGCAGGAGAATGGAGAAATTCCCTCCAGGAGGGGAAGGTAAGTGTGCAACATCCCTCCTCAGGCTGCAGCCCTGGAGGAGAGGAGGGAGACAGTGGCAGCAGCTTCTCCCACTGCCACCCTTTCATCTCTCAGCCCCTGCATTGCTGCCCTTGTTGACACCCCCAACCAATGTGGAGTGAGCCCTGACCTCACTGCGGGTGGCAAAACTGCTTTGCTGTTTCCCCCCGTGGCTCTTGGATGTCCGATTGCCTTAGTGAGAGATAGGTGAGGTGACATTGTGTGCTATCAGCAGAAAAAAGGCTGCTGGCTTCAGTGGCACAATCCAGAGCTCTGATGTGGAGACAAAGAAATAGCATCGGTGTCGGGAGCTGCCTGGCTTTAAGTGATTTTGCAGTCCTAGGGGCTTGGACTTGCAGCACTGGGCTGTGGCCGGAACAAAGTGTTCTGCAGGTCTGCTTTTTTTCCTCTCTCTGAGCACATTGTGTGTAAATCCCGTCCTGAGGCCTCAAACAGGGCAACTGCTCTGCTTTTATTGTGCATCCCGGATTCCATAATGCAGTGCAGGACGGGGTGAGGGTGGGCACGTTGTTCCCAAACTGCACTATGTAGCACCAGAGGCAGCTGGAGGGATCCCAGGAGCTCCCCTTGCACAGCTGGCTGCCTCTTGTGTGATGCTGGGTAAGCAGTTATTTGGAAGCACATCTGACTCTGCAGGCTTTCTTCCCCTTAGAGAAAGGGCAGAGCAAAGGGCTGAGCTCAGCTCTTGACCTCTGGTCACGTCCAGAGTGCTTAAGATCCTTTTCAGTGATGAGGACCTTGCCCCTTCTCCTTCCTGCATCAGATGAGCTGGGTTCTCTCTTGGTTATTTCTCTCCCTGCTGTCCTGAGAAGGACTGTGGCAGAGGATGGGGACTGTGGCAGAGGATGGGGACTGTGG